CCGTGCCAGGCACAGAGCCCTGCAGCACACACAGCCTTGGCCCTTTTATAGCAGCAGCAGCTCGTGCAGATTGATCCAACCCTGTGCTGCAATCAGCCCCAGCACAGAGCGCTGACCTGGGCTGCACAGCACGTGGTGCAGCCCATCCTGAAGGGTCAGCTCAAGATCACAGAACTGTAGGAAGGGACCCTTAAGGCTGTCTGGTTCAACTGCGAAGCGCAGGGACACCTGCAGCTCCTTCAGGAGCTCGGAGCTGCTCCAGCCCGGCCTGCCCTCCCATTCAGGCACACATGGAGTAATGCACAGCCCATGCACCACAGTGCCCAGCACCTGGGGGTGCCTGTCTAGAAGTCAACCCCAGGACAGGCACGTTGCTGTGCACACAGGGTGAGAAACAGCCGAATGCATCCTGCCCTGTTCTGCAGAGCTTTACCTGCTCCAACGGGGCTGAAGGCAAAGTCAAAATGTTGCTGGCTCTGCACTTTGCCTCTGTGAGATGCCCAGTTGGATGCAAGTGCCTCAGTGGAGGAAATGAGAACACTATGGGACTGCAGGCTCTGCTGGGGGGGAACAGGAACAGCAACAGGGTTGGAAAGAAAGGAACACACACAGCCACAGGACTGCTGACACCAGAATGGGGACAGCACAGAGCATCCTCCCTCTTATCTCTGTCCAGGACATGGAGTGCAGCACAATCAGCCTAATCAGAAACACTGATAGCAGAACCACACCAGGCTGAGGAGTCGTCTCCACGGTTTGCATTCTTTCCTTGCCATCATCCTGTGACCTGCTGAACAGCCCTCCACCTGTTTGCTCCTTTCCCTATGATGGAAGAAATCAGGCGGAACAAATCCTCATTAAAGCTGTGTGCACCTGGCTGTGCTCAGCAGTGAGCCAACAGCATGAGGGGAGGGGGAATGTGGAACCACACCACTCTGCAGCTCCAACAGGGAGGAGAGGGGAAGCAGAAGCAGGGCTGTGCTGGTGACAACCCTGCAGTGTGGAACTGGAAGTCCCTTCCTGCTGGGCAGCCCTTAGGGATGCTCCAGGTTCACATCCTCCTCCTCAAATGGTGACTACATCACAGCTAAAGCCGAAAGGTTTTGCTGACATTGAGCTGCCTGCGGGTGCCCACAAAGCATGAATTCCTCACAGCCCTGCAAACACCACAATGCCCTCCACAGACCCATCAAGAGCTCCCCAGCTAGTTTTCACGGCCTGGTTATTTCAGCTAAGCAGCTCACAATCTGTTTTAATTTGTTTTTATAGGAAATTAATTAGGCAATTATTTTTTCTTTTAAATACTTTAAAATGAAACAAAAACGAAGCAGTGGCACAGAGCTGAGCTCCTGCTCCCCAGCTGCTGTAATTACCTCTCCTGCTCCAAGCTCACGGCTTCCCCCAGGACCACCACACACATCAGAGCCATCCCAGCCCCACATCCCTTCCAGCCACTGCCACAAAGACGTGCTGTAATTACTCTCTGCTCCGGCACCAGACCCCATTATCCCCATAACCTTAGCAACTGAGCAAGCAGTCGTTCCAGTTGCTATGACAGAGGAGAAATGAGGGAGATAAGGGCACCGGGCTCCATGGGTGCAGGAAGGCTCCTTTGCAGGACATGAGGCTGTTTGAAGGCAACGAGTGGTGTGACTGTGCCCAAACAAGCACCAGCCTCAATCAGGGCTTTGCTGCTCATACAACACAGAACAGTGGAATCATTAAGGCTGGAAAAGACCCCTGAGACCCTCGAGTCCAACCCCCACCGTGCCCACTGATCACATCCCTCAGTGCCACATCCCCACGGCCCTGGGACGTCTCCAAACAGAGCACGTGGGGAATAAAACAGAAGGTTCCCATGCCCCACAGCTGCTCCCCAGGCACGGCAGCAATGGCAGAAGCCCAACTGCATTAAGACGGCGCTTATTAAAGACATTACAAAGCAAAATGCCCTGCAGGTCCGTGCCAGTCCTGGGAGGGGGAAGATAAAATCAGCTGTACAGGAAAACCGGCACACGGCACCAACGAGCCTGTATTAATGAGAGGCACCCATTAACATGGCTGCTTGATACGTGGTGAGCCACAAAGGAGCAGGCTCTGCCCAAGCAGATCCACTCACCCTGCAACCCACAGTGCAGGGGAGGGCAGCCAGGTGGGTCTGCAACGTGGGTCCATCCGTACCCATCCAGCCTGAGCTCTGCAGGTGCTTTGCTTGGTGCATAATTCATGCTGCTCAGCTCTTTGACTCACGTTCTGGAGCAGCCTGAACTGGCACAGGGCTCCGAGAAGCAAATTAGCATCTAAACGGCCAATTAGAGAAACTAATTTCTTTATGCTGATGCACTACCCAGCTCAGGAGGCCTGGGCAGAACCCGCAGCTCCAGCCTCGAGTTTCTTAGAAAGAATTGGACGCAGACGGGAAAGGCAGAGCCAAGGAACCGTGTGCCAACCCCCGCGGTGATCTTGCAAGAACCAGGAACTGCCCTGCCAGCCGCTGGCTGAGGCGGCCACGGGCTCTGCCGCTGGTGAAATGCCGCCTGAGCATCACCGAGGTCGCACCGCCCCGCTGAACGCGACTCCCTTCCGAACGAGAGGGAACCGCGGACTTTGACCCAGAGCTGGGGATGTGCGCAGACCCAACGCCCCGGGACGGGCACAGCGCGGCACGCAAAGGAGCAGCAGCGGGACGGGGCCCGCACGCGGCCACCCCCGAAGCCCATCAGCCTCACGGGGAGCGCTGCCTTCGGCCCCGCACCTCTCGCCCGTTCCCCAGCCCTCCGCCGCTCCCTCTCAGCCCCGTGAACGTCACCCGGCCGCGTTGCAGGCGCACTTGGCAGCGGTTTACGGGACACCCTCCCGCCCTCGGAGCCTCCTCCCAGCAGTAGCACGGGCTCCGGCACCCCGCCCATTCCCCGCGAGGCTCCGCCCGAAGTCCCGCTCCCAGCGCAGGGCTCAGCCCCACCACGCGCGGCTCCGTCCCCTCCTGGAGCCTCCGTCCGTCTTTCCGTCTGTCTGTCCGTCCCCGCGGGGCAGCGGCACAAACACAACGCACCTGCACCGCACCACTCCGCTCCGCGCGCCCCCGTGGGCAGAGCGCCCCCTGGCGGCACCTCGCCGCTGCACCGCCCCGGAGCGGAGGGGGCGGGGCTGCGGGGTGCGGCGTCGGAGCCGGGCGGGGGATGAAAGGCACCTGTAGGGAAAGGGGGAGGGCAGGAAGGGAAGTGAAGGCGAAGGGAAAGAAAGCGAGGTAAAAGGAAAAAGAGCCGAAGTAAACGAAGTGAAGCCAAATAGTAAACAAACAGAACCAAAATAAACCAAGAGAACCAAAATAAACAAAAAGAAGGAAGCAAACCAACCCTACCAAGCTCCGAAGGGCGGAGCGTGCTGGCTGTGTGCACGACTGGGAAGTGGCACGGATGGGGCTCTGTGCAGAGCTCTGGGCTCGGATTTCTGGCTCAGAAAATCGGATTTTGTCACAGTGAAAGGAATTTTATGCCGTACCTGGTGGCAGGAGGTGCACTGCTTCAGTAAAATGTCACCTGGGCATGCTTTTCTACCAGTCCCCCAGCGGTCCCCCAGCTGCCATTGCAGCCCTCCATCACCAAGGGGATGAGGGAATGGCAGCCCCATGGTGCACCATGGCTGAGCTGCGGTCCCTCTGCAGCGCTGTGTGTCACTGCCATGCTCAGAGCAATGCTGGGTCCCAGCCAAGAGGACAAGCCCAGGCCAGCCCTGGCTCCATGGCTGTCCTGGAGACATCACCAAGCAGCAGGAGGACGCGGGGAGATGGAGGGGAGAACGCTGAGGACAGGAACAAAACAGGGAGGTGAGCAGAGAGATGGATGGGAAAGAAGGGGATGGGTTGAGATGGAGGGGCTGGGGAAGAGGAGGTGATGTGCTGAGGGCAGGCGGATGGGGATGTGGGGCAACGAACATCTCACCACTGAACCCCTCCTTCCCTTCCCAGGCTCGGGAGCTGCCACAGTGGCAGGTAGGCATCAGGGGACCAAGGGCTGCACACAGGGCCTGGAGAAGCCAGCAGAGCAGAGCACTGCTGCCATGCAAGGAGGTGAGATGGGCTGGGGAGGTGAGATGGGCTGGAGAGAGATCACACAGCCACAACTCGAGGCCAGATGTGAACCTACACAGCTCCCACCGAGCGCTCCATCTGTGGCCATATGGGTATGCAAGTGCATGGTGCTGGTGTGGGAGTTGTTAGGTTAACCTAGCAGACAAACCTGTGCTTCCCAAATGTTGGTAGCATTTGTGATTCCTTTTTAATGGACACGTGCATGGCATAGCAAATATAGGATTATTTCATCATCTTTATTACAAAGAAAGAGCGGAAAAGCCTCAGGGCTGAGTTTTAGCTAATGGGGCTGATATCTCACCAGCAGGAAAACACCACCGCAAACCCAGAAAGCTGAAGGCTCGCCCTGCTGCACACCGCGAGGACTTCGGCCGTGGGAAGAACTCTGACTCAGCCCAAAGTAAAGCCAAAGGGGCACAGGTGGGCACGGAGGTCAGCACTGTTTCACCATCAGCTTCCACCGTTTCAGACTCCAGCCGAACAGATCTCAGCCTTTCTGCTCAGTTTAAGGAAAGCCTTCGGTGGGATGGGATCCTGGAGGACCCCGCAGCGGAGGAGGAGAGGCTGCAAACCTACAGGCTGAACAGAAGGAAGCGGTACGAGCTGTACCTGCAGCAACACCGCCCCAATGCAGGGCATCACCCATCACACTGAGCAGTGCTGCAGTTCTTTTCCAGGGCAGCAAACAGCTCCTGAATACTGAGCGAGCCCTCCGAGCTGCAGCCTGAGCTGTCAGCAGAAAGCTCTCAGTGAGCTTTGCAGCTCATTGCTCCCCGGTTTGTAACTGCACAAAGAATGGGATATTTGCAGGGGGCGGGTAAATGATGCATTTATTTCTATGCAAACACCATAAGAACCACGGAAAAGCTTTGAGTGAAAAAGGAATGAAAGACAACGAGGCCTCCCTGCATTACGCTTTTCAGATGGTTTATTATCAGTAAAGTAAAAGACAACTGAAAATGAGAGGGGGGGACAAACTCCACAGCCATCAGAGCGTTTGCACAGAGCTGACCAGAGCTTTGCAGATGTTGGAGCATAAATAAAAAGTAAAAAGTATCTCTACTAATTAAAATACATTAAAAGGCATCGGCTTGCTTCATAAAAACCAGGTTGTGCCACCTTGGGGTTGTGTTTAAGGGACCATCTTGGTGTGGATTTGAGATGCACCCCCTAAATTCCGCTGTCTGAAGCTGATGTGTTTAACGACAACACCGTGCTGCTCTTCATCCTGGAGCAGAGCCCACCTGAACCTTTGCCACCCTGGAACTGTTTTGGGATTTGGTTACCTGAAGCAAAGATGAAGGACGTTCCGTTCTGAGCTAATAAATAAGTACAAAACCAAAAGGACAACAAAACAAACCGCACCAACTCACGCCTGCTTCCCTGTTGCAGTCTCCCAGATCAGTTCATGCTGAAGTACATTTCCACACCACTCACCCCACGTGCACATACACACCCTAAGCACAGCTCCAGGACAGGCTCCCGGGTCTCTAACTCACTAAATCCTCATTAGATGCAGGTTGAGAGCTGCCATTGCAACCTCAAGTTGTTCCCTTTGGCCCCACAACTCTCCTGCTGCACATGGCAGCAGTTTCCTGCAGCCCAAGCTGTTACCCCATCCTCATCCCTTCTCTGCTGCCTGGAGCTGCAAAAGCAGTTTCTCTCCTGCTCTACACTTCTTTCCAAATCATACCTTCAGAGCAGACACGAATGCCATTGGATAACATTTCAGATCTGTTAAGCACGGCACCCCAGACTTTCTGTTAGCTCTTTCCAGCAGATTCCAGGAGGCCAACTTCCAGATGAGAGTCCCATAATCCAAACCAAAATGAATGACAGCTCTGGCTGTACGTAACCCAGAGACCTGGTGGTTTGTCCGCAAGACTGAACAGCCCTTATCTTTGCACATCCCCCCAATACACTTCCTCCAGCCCAACGCTATCCCACATTCTATTATTGTTTTCTCCGGGAAAACGCTTCCCCTTCTTTCCATCTGCACTGCGGGGTAGGGGAGGGAACCCTTTAACAGCAAAGAAATCCCTCACTGAGTCACACCCCCACCGAAAACCACCTGACGCTTAAAGCAGGAATAGGAGCTGAGCAAGAGGTGGGGACTGCAAAGGTGGGCTCTGCACCCAGCGCAGCAAACAGAGAGTGATAGTGTGGTGAGATGGGAGCGGGATGGATCAGAGCATCGGGGATGGATCGGAGCACCAGGAATGGATCGGAGCACCGGGGATGGATCGGAGCACCGGGGATGGATCGGAGCACCGGGGATGGAT